CTAAACCACAGCATGTCCACTTCCACTGCTACCTTGCCATCCAAATTGTAGGCAGAAGCTTTTTAAAAAGCAAAGGTCCAAGAGCTGTGTACACAGTTGGTGAATTTGTTTCACCCCCATATTCCAAAACAGTTAGGACTGATGTTCCTTTTTTCTGAGAAAGCTGTAATTTCTTCAGGAGTAGCATCTCCTATCACAGCCTAGAAATGAGGGGAAAACTGCAGCTGCTGAATATCACCTTGTTTCTGGCCCTTCAGTGGCAGAAGCTCTTTCCATTTTGAAACACAGTCCTTTTTAAATCTATAATTAACAGTGAATATTCACTGGTATTACTAGGTAAAGCTTCCTGCTTCAATAAAAGTCTAATCCCCACACTTTTTAAAATCCTTCTGTTCTAGCTTTCCTGTGTTTTGTGACCACGAATTTCCTAAATTAACCATGCCCTCTGTTGAAAGGGACTTCCTTTGACACTTTGCCTTTCAGTTTAATTGAGCTGTTCTTGAACTCTTACATTATGAATAACGGAAACCTGCTTTGACATGTAACGGCTTTGACATTTTCTAAGCATGGCTTCTTATAGAAAACAGAAAGTGTGTGCGCGACTGACAGACAGACAGACGCTTTACCGTCAAACGTTCCTACAAGTTTTTCATTAATCATAAGACAAAAGCTATGAAAACAACATGGCTTGTTTGTTTCAAGCACCTGGAAGTAAAAATGTCTGTTTTTGCTTTTTCAGAGCCTGCACACATACTGCAGATATGAGTCATCTGTTTCCTTTTCTTGTCATTTGCCAATTGTCACTTGATGATTTATTAAATTGCATTTATATCCTGCCTTTCTTCCTCTTGCAAGGAACCTGAGGGCACGTACACAGTCTCCCTCCGCTCCGTTGTATCCTCACAACCACCCTGTAAGGTCAGTTGGGCTGGGAGTGAGTGGCTGCCTGAAAGTCACCCATTGCAGTGAGCTCCATGCCCAAGAGGGGACTAGAACCCGCATCTCCGGGGTCCCCTGTCCAGACACCAGAGTTCAGAAAGAAAGAGGTGCTCCTTTTTTCTCTTATCACTTCTCCAAACATTCTTACACACACACCAAACCCCATCATAACATTCCATTTCATTATCTCTTTGTAAATGTCATGACGCCGTTGATCTTAACTTGATTGCCTTTTCCTGGCCTCATGCATTAAAAAATATATACAAAAGCAGGCAGTACTGATGTAGGGCTCACGTTGTAACTATTTCATCTGCTGGTGTTGCTGGGGTTACATATTTTCTATGCAACTTTTTGGCGTTTATATTGGTAGGTGCTATTGTAAGCAAGTCTATGAAGTCGGCACCCCAAAGGGCAAAGTATTAAACATGATTCAATCAGATACCCCAGTTGTTTCATGGGATAGAAATTCGATAAGGCTTCCCGTTCCATCTGTATGTTGAGGGAAATGGTTGCTTTTGAATATCTGCCTGTCATACAGCTATAAAAGGCAGAGAGAATCTGTCGGAAAAGGTGGCAGGCAGCACATAGCAAACGGATGGCTTCCTCAATGGCATGCTTTTCTTTAGTGGCCTGTTTACAGGAAGCCTCTCCCAACTGGACTCTGTAAAAATACGAGTGGTATCCCCACCAGTGATACCCTTGGCCAGTTTCAGTCCCCAGAGGAAAGGCTACACTTGCTCTGGATACCCAGTCGGTCAGAGCTGGGTGGGTGGGTGGGTGCTCCATCAAAGGGGGTTCTCATCAAGGCTGAAGAGGAAGAGGAGGAGGGCAGGGCAGTAACTGCACTAAAATATATTACTATCAATCACAATGTAAATAGATGGATCCTGCCCCCACCCAAATAAGGCAGTTGTCAGAGGAAGCTGCATTGCAATCCAGCCATTGTGTCACAGGGAATATCCCACAGGTACTTGTGAAACTTGTGGAGCTCTTGTTAGCTACAGCTACACATAGTTCGCAAGCTGCCTTGGGGGATCTTCAGACCCGGAGGAGAGGATATTAATTAAACTAAGCAGAAGGTGCTGTCTTATACAGAGTCAGACCAATTATTCATGTAACCCAGATCTGTCTGTGCTGACTGGCAGCAACCCTCCAGGGTTGCAGGCAGAGCTTTTTCCCAGCCTTGCCACCTGCAAACCTATTAAGTGGATGTGCCAGGGACTGAATCTGAGCGGTTATATATGCAGAACTGTGGTCTTTTCCCCAAGCTGTAGCCTCTGTCCTCCCCATACTACTGCCACGGTAGCAATGGATGCAGTGTCTGGAGAAAAGGCTGCACCCAGCCCCCATAAAAACAAAATCCCCCTGCCCTTCTCATTGGCGGTTGCTTTATAGCTAGTTGCAGTGTCAAAACAGCAAAACAGAAAGATGCTTGCAACTCTTGCCCAATCCACCGCAGCCAGCCAGATCCGCTCAGTGTTGTCTCTCTTCAACCGCTGAATGAGGTTTCCTGTGAGGGCTGCAGGCACAAAGCCAGCAAGAAGGCAGCCGCTGTGCCTGGCGGTATCTGGCTTTTCATCAACCACCTTGAAAACATGTTTGTTTACTCCAAATGAAAAGAAAACATTGTACAATTTAAGGTTCTCATAACAACAAACAAATTACAGCCCTGCCGAAGCATGTTTGGCTCCTGTGCCAGGCTGTCTCTGCAGCAGGTGCCCCGTCCTCTCAGTCCAGTTCTGTTACTGCTGCCGCAGCTGCCCAGGTGGCAGGACTCACCCAGGTGCCCAAGCGGCCACTTAATGTGGTCAGGCTTCCCTGGCTGAATGTGTGTCCAACCCAAGCGCCCCCAGGAGCAAGGAAAACCAGACAACAAGAAAACTGCTGTGACACTTTAGAGCAATTTATTGTGGCACAAGCTTTTGTAGGGAACGGCCTACTTCAGTAGCAGCCAGAAGCAGTATAAGGCCAATGTCAGAACCGCTAAAATGCAGGGAAGACTGATAATTGAAGGTGGCAGACCCCGGTCCCTGCAGTTTGCATGAAGTCTCTTGATACTTTGGTCCTGAACATTTCACCCTTCTCAGGGCTCAATACCTCATCCAGGCTGTTGTTAAAACAGTAACCCTTCAATGGAGCCTCCACCATTTCCAGCCGCCATGTTTTCATACCCAGTCTCATGACAGGCAGCAAATTTTTACTCTTCATATGTCGTTTTGCCACTGTTCTATCTCTAGTCTTGTGCAGCATTTGATTTTAAAAGGGAGATGTGCCAAAATCCAAGACTTCCTCAAAGGCAAGCCCCTGATCTTGGATGTTTCACTCATTCGCTACAGCATCTCAGTCCAACTGCAGAAATCCAGTCAGACTTCCCATGAACTCTTTTGCTCTGAAACAGCCAGGCACCACTGGAATCACGTCCTGACGTGATCACAGTGTGGATGCCACCTATATGCATGGCATTGTTTTCAATGGGATTCCCATTTCAATACTGAAAAGGGTGGACAACTTGTGGTGCTCCAGAGATGGCTGAGCTGCAATCCCAGCAGCCCTGGCCAGCAGAAGCACTGATGAGGGGAGCTAAGCCAAACAACTTCCCGAGGGCCACAACTTGAGCACTCCCTTCATAGTTACATGGATTCCAGGACCGCTTTCCAAGAAGCCGTCTCTCAGTCCCTGGCTCACGGCAAACCAAATGCCTATTTCCACTCTAGTACTCTTAGTCAAGGGTCAGATCAGATCCAGCTGCTCTTGGACTTCATGCCAGCCTGGTTTCTAACTAGCATTCAGGATGAAAACTGTTTGAGTTGCCCCGGGCACCTGGAGGCCCGAGGACCCCTGTGGCTTCTCCTGGATCTCTTCATGGCTATTGATCATGGTGTGCTGCTTGACTTCCTGCCCGAAGTGTGGCTTTGCAGAAAAGTTCCAGGAAGTGCCGTTAGAAGCCTGCTGATCTACAGGCATACATATAGTCTCATACTTTTCTACCCCTGCATGAAATTGCTAGAAGTCATTCGATGAATTGGGGAATAGTGCCACCAGCATGCCGATGACACAATTCTATCCCTCCTTTCTCTTTGCATCAGCCATGGGAGGGTCCTCCAGGGTAACTCAGTAATAGACTGGATTAATGTGAATAAAGTGAAACTAGAATGGAATTGTTGATACTGGGAAGTTTTGTAAAACTAGACGAAGGGGAATTATCTGTTCCTGCTCCACTGAGGTGTCAATTTTGGGGAGTGATTTTGGCTACAATGTTAATTTAGACAGCTAGGTGACAGACATGGCCAGGAGTTTGTTTTTTCATGTTAGTTGCTCCATTTTCTGAAGGCTAAAGGCTTAGCCAGTTTTGCATACTCCAGGGGCTTCCCTATTTGACTACTATAAAGTTCTTACTGTGGGACTGCATTTGGGAGGAAAAAATCAGAAATTGGTTCAAAATCTGGCAGCTTGTCTTTTAGTTGGTGTAGGTCACAGGGTGCATTCAACAATCTTTTTCTTTTTCTTTAATTTGCATTGGCCGAGCCAAGCTTATGGAATTAGTTTTGACTTTTAAAGCCTTACATGATTTGAGTCCAAGACTCCTGAAGGAGCACCATGACCCCCGGCACACACCTTTCTTAATTAAAGCTGCTGGAGAATACTTCTTTGGTGCACTCATTGTCAGCATGTATTCGCTGCGAATATCCTGGAGCAGGAACAAAGCTTTTTCACAGTGGTGGCTTTGGCACAAGGGGATGCATCCACAAGAGGGACCCTCCAAGCCCAATTAATTGTTATTTGACACGACTGGAAAAACCTTCTCTCCTACATGACTTTTACCATTTTTATGTTTCTTAATCTTGATGTATTTCATTTCTGAACACTGCTATCAGTTTTTAGACTGCTTTGGGTACGAAGTCATTCAAAACATGGATTTCAGGTGTAGCGCTATGCCTGATTAGACAGAAAAGCATGCCCCAGCTGGGGCGTGATGGCACTTGCAGGTCTGTTTTTCTGTCTGATTGTGCATAGGACCACACCCCTGCCCTATAGTTTATTGGTAGCAACACTGACAAACATTTTCCGTGGAAAGGCAACAGTAGGCATTTTAATAAATAAATAAACCACTTGGCTAGGGTTGGAAACATAACATAAGGAGGTATTTTCTGGAGTCTCTCATAGAAGGACACAATCTAAACAAAGGTCATTAAAAATGGACACATTGTTCTCCCCTATACAAATCCTGTTAATATATTCCTCAGCGTTCTATCAATATGGTTGACACATAATGACAACTGATGGCCTAATTAACCCATGGGCTGTTACCTTTCCTAGAGTTAGGCCATGATTTGGCTATTAGATGATCAAGAAAACTGCAGGTTGTGTTTTAAGTTGTTGGGTTGTTTGGTTCTTCTCTCTCCCATTCCCTCCCACTATTCCATGTATTTTTGCAGCACTGTATTAATGCAGCATGTAGAAGTACTGATAGTAGTAGTAATTGTTGTTTTACTACTTTTGCTACCACCTTCTGCAACCATATAAAACAACCCGTGAATGACCCACAGTTTTGGGTTCACCCATAGGTTAAACAACTCACAGCCCAAAAACAAACCATGGGTTCTGTCATGGTAGTTCCAGGTTTGCATGAAACAACCCACTATTCAACATAGTTAAAATAAACCATGGTTTGTTGTTACATGTAATCCTGATATACCTCTGATAAGACAGGTCCAAACACATGGAAATATATGAGGCATTCAGAAAGCCATCAGAATGTTGTCTCTGGGGGACAACTATTGAGATATCTTGTTATTATAAAGCTCAGAAAAGGGGAGAGGGGAAGCAGAGATTGCATCTGTTAAGTGATGTCCCAGTAATGCATTCCATTGCTTGATACCTGAGCATCAGCTGCCAAAATGCAAGGAAATATTGACTCACCAGAATAATCAGACAGACTACATTCTCTTGGTGCATTTCACTCACTCCAATTTTTTCAGCATTTAGTATCATGCAAAGAGAAGGAAATAGGGTAATTTGCACACTCTATCTCACAGTGCTGAATATGATTGGAAAGTGCTGGCTGAGAATTGTGAACTAGGCATCGTAACCATGATCTGCTGTTTTTGAAAAAGAGGGGAAAGGGTGTTTTAAAAACTATTCTAGGTCTAATCATCTGTTTAAAAGGCATTGGGCTGTTTAAAATATTCTGCAAAAAAATAGAGTTCGATTTCTTTCTTTGTCTCTATATATAAAATATAGATATAGCTATAAATATAGATATGCATTTGTTGAGAATTAAAAGCACCTCTGTTATTTTCATAGGCTCCAAATATAACCTTCTCACAGTATTTTGCCCACCCCTTGCCAATAGTGTTTCTCTCCATCTGCTAGGCACTCCAGTTCCACATTCCGTTCTCCGCCAAACTCCCCACCTTCCCTCTCAAGACTTATATGGTGGTTGTGTCACTGCTCAACAAGCCATTCGTGACTGTGCTGTCCTGGAGTTTCACATTGGTGCCGTTAGCCTGATCCATCCCTTCTTTTGCCGCTTGCTCCTGGAGAAGCCTGTGGCGGTAGTAGTAGAGGTAGCAGGGAAGCAGGAAGCCCACAGAAGAGAAGATGAGGAGGGCAAGATTCACCTGGGGAGAAGGCAAGCAGATCAGTAACCTGGGGGCATCTCCCTATCGTTATGCAAAATGAGAGGGAGGAGTACTGAAAAATGCTGGCTCTGATTCTGGGCTGGTCCCCAGGTGTGGCAAATGAACTTTGCTTTGCCAAAGTTCCACCCCTGAACGGGGAGGCAGGGCAACAGAATGAAGCAATCTATTTTGTCGCTTTCATTATCTAGAAGGATGTCTCTGGGAGTACCTGTATGCAGGTAAATATCCGCTCAGCCACCATCACGCAATTCATTCTTCTCCCTGAAGTATGCCAGCTGACTAAAGGAAGGGTAAGACCGCAAAGACAGCTGTGGCAGCACCTACTCCAGGTGAGGGTAACTTGTGCATCTCCAGATATGTTAGTCTACAACTCCCATCTGTCCCAGTCAGCATAGTTAAGGGTAAGGAACCATGGGCCAAAATATCTGGAGGGACACAAGTGGCTCATTCCTGCATAGCGCCTGCCACAGTGGTGGGGAACCGCAAACCCCAGGAGCCAAATCTCACCTCCCGCGGTGTTGATCCGGCCCGCTGAAGCTCCCCACGTGGCCCTGCCCCTTTCCCCCAACTACTGATTTTTAGCAACTTCTGAAAAACTGAAATGCCTCTCCTGAGGCTTACTGACAGCAAGAGCTTTATGCTGCAACATGATATGGGAGTCATGGTGCAGATTTTTAAAATATCTTTTTGGTCCCACCTCCCTTCAACCTGCCCACCCTCTGAATGTGGCTGCCAAGAGCTCCTCTGAAATCCAATATGGCCCTCAGGCTGGAAGAGGTTCCCCACCTCTGGCACGTTACATCATCCACACTTCTCCTCAGCCTCCAAATCTGCTGGACTGTTTAGTAACTGTTTTCAAAATGTTTCTACATTTCTTTTTTGGAAAAGTGAAGGGTGACTGCATGGGCCATTTTATAGCATTTTTTCTTTTCAAAGATGGACAGCCTGCCCAATGCAGAAGGGACAAGGCAGGAAAACTTCCACACCTCCACAGTAACAGGGAGCAGCTTGTTCATCTAAAATTTGTCTAGTTGGCAGGCATGTCCATATAAACAGCACTATGAAGCTAGATTCACACTGCAAGGAAAACATGCCCTGGAATCACTCCTCAACAGCCACCTTTGTCTTCATCTAGAAGCCGTAACTCACCCAGAAGGGATCGCCATGCATTGGCCCCACCATGGCCATGAAGAGCGGCTGCTGCAGGAGAGCAAATACAGCGCTGATCAGAGACTGCAGGCCGGTCAAAGTGCCAAAGTGATTGGACGGATACCTGCCAAGCCGGAATCGCGGACAGGGGGTTAGACTCAAAATGCCAAGGAAGCCCATGTAACCGTCTCTCCCATCCCACCACATGCAGACGCAGCCCTCAGATATTAAACTGTCACCACTAAGACTCTGCATCGCATTTGGAGAAACAGAAATGAATTGGTAGTCCCAAAGATATCCCATTATCAGTGTACTAAAGACTTCAAAACCTCAGTTAATGAAACAGATAAGCAGGTCTTCAGACAGAACGAACGTGCAAATGGAAAAATGTCAGTAGTGAGATGAACAACAGCTCTTACAGAAAATCGGGAACAGCTTTAATATACAGTAATAAGAGAAACTTAAAGGAACTCTCTCACAACTAGTTTCTCCCATTCTTCCTTCTCCTAGAGGTCAAACAATTTTAGCTTCCATGAAAAGCAGGATAACTACAGATAAGCAAGAAAAGGAGACCACACTGACCAGTGCTACCTCCTCCAATACTTTCTTTGTCAGAAGGAAACCTTTAGTTTTTGGAGCAAGATAGCGGAGTTGCTTTTCAGATATAAGGGCCGTAGCTTTGGGACAGCAGGCAATTCTACTGGTATGTGCAACACACCAAGTGGGAGATGCACATAATACGGTGCCCATCTGGAGGAGCGTGATGGCTCTTTTGCTCTGCAACCTAGAAAGGAAGCTGCCGTTGGGAGTGAAAAGGAGTGGAAATCTTTGCTTCTCCTGCTGCTTCTACCATCCTTGGACCTCTCCTGCCCCACGCCTTGCGCTTTATCAGCATAACCTTGGGAGAATGAACTGCAGCCATCCCGAAACAGGTATACGCGAAAAGAGAAGGGCAGGCTGTAGTCCCTGCTTCCCATTCTGAAGCAAAGGGGTCGCACACCGTGGCGTAACTCACACAGCAGCGTAGAGGCTTCCACAGGCAGAATGGAAGAAGCCGCGCACCATGGTATGAAGGATGAAAGTCACGTACTGTGGAGAGACAAGCCAACAAAATGGAGAGAGACGCAAACACGGTGCATGACGTGAGGGTTGGGAACTGGTGAGGGCATGGCTGCAGCACCAAGGCAGCAACAGAGGGAGTCAAGGAGCATCATGGGAGAAGGAGAAGCAGGGCAGGATGTACCTGCAGAGGGAGGTTGTTGATAAGGCAGGTGATACCAAACCCCACCAGCATGAGATTGGTGATGACGAAGGCACGGATAGCATTGGTGAGCTTCTGGATCTTTTGGTAGCGAACTTTGGGCGGCTTCCCTTTCTCCTTCATCCTAGGAAGAGCCAAAGGAACAGTCGGTCATCCCTTGGAAGCCCACATTGAAGCATGAGCGCTCAGTCCAGCCCTTCATCATCATCATCATCATCATCACCACCGTCGCATTTCTGTATTGCAATAGCTGAAGCTCTTGGCACAGTCACAGGCGGTTTTTGAAAAGAAAATCAAGAAACTCACCTAGCTAATGCAGCAGCACCCTTGTTTCCAGGCCCATCCACACAGTCCTTTATGCGCCAGTCCATCACATAGCCAATGGAGGGGCAGGTGAGAAGGCAAAGTAGCTGCATGACACCAAAGATGGAGGAATAGAAGCTGACTGCCCGGCAAAGAAAAAGGGGAGAGGGAGTGAGAGAATCGCCTGGAGGCCCCTGAGAAATGTCCCATCCCTGAAGCTAACCTTGAATGGGCCGGCCAGCCAGCCAATTCAACCAACTGGGAACACCCTATGCTCCCACTTGGAGCTTTCTGGAGGCAGGGTGGGATCAGCACATAACAAATAATTCAGACAAATAAGCCATGCATGCCCCTGCTCAAATATTTCCTACCTAATTTGTGCTGTGTGAAAACGCTTCGACCCCTTGTGCCCTTTGGCTGCCTCCTCACCATTTCATCCTTTCAGCCTTCTCTCTCCTTCCCATTCAATTCTATTTCTCTTGGCTGGGCCAGGGTGGCCTACTCTCCCTTTTGCTGGCTGGCCCAGAGGTATCTTCCCAGTGCCTGACATTGCCTGCTGTATTTCAGGAAGAACAGAGGATCAGGTGGTCAACCCACAAGGGAAAGCTCATATATCAGTTTCCTGTTTTTCTACACTTAATGGATGCTCCTGTGATTGGTCGACTGTGCTGGTAGTAAGGATAGGGTTCCAGGCCATTGCCCCTCCATTCTCACCACTGTGGAAAACCTCCTTTACTTGTTCAGTTTCATTTTGTTTAATAATCTGAGATTCATCTGTTTTAGAATACTTTTTTCTGGAAAATTGAGGTCCCCAGCCCAAAGTCTGGGCAGGGAGCAAGAGCTGAATGCAGGATGTTTTTGCAGCACATAGTCTGAGAGGGCTGTACCAAGCCCTGCCTATTGGGGCTCCTACCTGTTTGTTCAGCTTCATTCTGCAGCTCTTCTGGTGATGGAATGCCCAATGAAAGAAAAAGAAAAAGACTGCATCAGAGTAATGGGATCAGGGCTATCTCCCTACATGCCCATAATCAAAATAATTAACAAGGCCGCTTCCCTTTCTTCAGACCTCTCCCATGTATGTTGTGATGCACATGGTGTGAAGGTAATATTTGCCATGGCCCAGTTTGTTCACATCCCTCCAGCAGCCCCACATAGCCTCTCGGATCATTTTGTCTCCGCAGTCCTCCCCACACACTGCTGCTTTCCCTCCCATGCAGCCCTCGGCAGCAGTACGCCGTCCTCCAGCGTCTAGTCCTCACCGGAGTCCTTGCCGCCTGTCACCTGGAACTCCAGCATCTTGTTCATGGCTGCCATGTAGAAGATGATGCGCAGCTGAGTCATGCCCATTGTGAAGAGGCTCCACAGAAAGATGGGTGAGCATACGCTCTGGCGGAAGGGGATGGGGCCTGTGAGCCAGCAGGAAGGAAACGGAGACAGCTGCCATGACACAGTGACCAGAAGGACCCACCAGTCTATTTGGGTGAAAGAGGAGGACCTCATACACTCACAGTCAGCCCACAAGAGGGAATGGGACCGTGCTCCGGATGCTGACATGGGGCAGACCAGCATCAGGCATGGGGTTACCGGTGTGATCCTACTCTGTCCATCATGCCTCACCTCAATAGCCATTTGCATGTGGTGCTTCCTAGTTCTGTGCATTCCAACAAAGGAATAATTAATCTCAGCAATCTAGAACACTATCTTAGTTCTCATAGCTAAACATTGGTGCTTTTAGCTGCAGAGACTAAATAATCCGGGGGTTATAACAGCTCTGGATCTGGAGGGAGGTTTTGTAGCTAGAGAGAGGCTTCTGTAGCTCTATGTGCATACATTGTATCTTGAAGAGAGGAACAGGAATTTGGGTTGTCTGTAAAACCTTTAACAATGGACTTATGCACAAGTCTTAGCAATGTAATGTGCTTATTTACAAGGCTGTATACAGCTTCCTGGTAGTGCTCCTACAGCAGGATTGCTCCTGGGATAAGAAAAGAGAAATGTGTGTCCTTTAAAGGGTTGTTGTATACAAAGAGAAATTTTGTAGGTAAAACAGTGGTTCGAATTAGGAGTGGCCTTTGTTCGATTTCTGCCACAATTCTTGCCCCTTTGTGCCACTCTAAGCCTGCTTCCAGATCTAAGGGCAGCGAATGCCCAGCCACCCACAACAGAGAAGGGCACTTGTTTTTCTCCGAAGGGTCAGACTGATGCAAAACCAAACATGCAAGTGCTCTCTTCCACCAATAGGTGGAGCCAGATGCCCAGGCCTGTGGTCTGGGGTGGCAGCCACTGCCAGCGCCTTATGCAAGCCGCCCAGGGCCTTGCGAGGAAACAGCTGTGGGGACGGAAATCAGGGCCAGATCCATGAGCTTCAAAGAACCCATTCCCTCGAACCCTCCAAAGAGCCCCCAGCCCTGCAAGCCTCCGGGGGGCAGGGGGGACCTTGAAGCACTGGGTGGGTGACAAATCTGAGGTCAGGCTTTGAGCCGCAGGAAGGGCTTCCCCACCCTCCCTTGCGGAGCTGCGGAGGCGACAACGTGACTCACGCTGCGAGGAGCCTGCGCCCCCCTCAGGAACATTCTGCACGGAGGGGAAGACCTCCTCTTTGCCCTCATCCAGGTGCGGGGCTCTCTGACTCAGCCGCTGCCCCACCGCAGTCAGGTGGACGTAGAACCGGTCGCCCGTCACCTTGTGGTCGAGGGCCAGGCTGCTCAGTCGGATCTTCTTCCTGCCGCGGGGACATTGGCGAGGGACAGGGGAGGGGGAAAGAGATTGCACGGGAGTTGCCACTCTCTGGAGGACAAAGCACGATGTCTGGCTATGGCAGCGCTTTCCCCCCGGAGCAGGAAAAAAGGGCCTCCCTCCCCACAGCTGCCGGGCAAGCAGAAGGGATGGAGGACGGCCAAGGGGGTCTGCAGGAGGAAGGGGAGAAGGATGGAAGCACCCCAAGAGCGGAGGCTCAAAGCCTGCAGACTATCCAGAGGGAAAACAGGCGTGCATTTTCAGGAGCGTAGAAGGGCCCTGGCCTTGCAAACACACGATGCAGAGTCAGGGCCAGCATCCGCACTGGCGTCCTTGGGCTGTGGCCAAGGCGCACTGCTGCCACGCGACTTGGGCCCCGCTCGAAAAGGAAATAAGGAGGCAGCAGCACCAGGCAGCTACACTGAGGTGCTCATTCTGTTCCCCGCCATGCCCCGCACCATTGCAAGGCACTTCTTGAACCCCCAGCAAGACATGGGAGAGTTTCCCCCATGTAGGCCCACCAGAGCCAGCTGACAGGACACGGGGGACAGAAGCTGCTTTCCCCAGGGCCTCATCCAACTGGGGCCAGCCCTGCTCAGAGTGGTTCAGTGAATGAAGATGCCTGCTGCATCCGCAGCCACAGAGCCCATGGGAGCAAGGCAGCAGCCTGCGCTGGGACAGGTGTCTGCACCCTCCCCCCTCCCCCCGCGGCCACATGCACACACGTGGCCTTTCCAGACTGCACCGCACTACAGCATGGATCCCTGTAATCAGTGGCCGTGCTGGCTGGCGCTGGTGGGAACTGGACCCCAGCGACTTCTTTAGGGTGATCCACTCCGCACAGCTGCAGCAGGGGGACAACGCTTTCCAGTGCGCACAGACACACAATGGCCAGCAACAAGCCAGAGCAGTTGGGGTGGGAGCCAAGGCACACAAAGGACCTTGACACACACAGGTGTCTCCCTGCCACTGCAATATTTACAGAAGGCATCAGGGCAAGAAGGCTGGCCCTGACAAATAGGAAAGCGCCAATAAGCCCTCCCTCTGTTCGGGACAGGATGTCTCACTGTAGTTGGAATAGCCACATTTCCTCCCACAGGAATCAGTCCTTTTGACCTCTCTACCAACTGGGCCTGCCGCTCAGAGGGATGGGACAGAAGCAGCTTCCCTCAATTGGGAAAAAACTGCCACATGACCCCTACTTACGTGTAGTTGGCTTCCTCTGGAGCTGGGAAGGATTCCCGGGGCCAGTTGATCAAGCAGTTGAGGAAGATGAGGCAAGCCAGGCCTGCCCAGACAAGCATGATGATGATGAAGGAAACTCCAGCGTCATAGATCAGCTAACAGCAATGGGACAGGAGGCAGAGATGAAGGGAGGGAGGGAGGGAAGTGCGGGAGGTCTTTCTTGGCTTTGGACATTCTACCCAATCCACCTGGAACTTGCACCTCGTCACAGGCAGAAATATGCATCCCACCTCTTTCCACAAGACCTGGAAGCAGTGACACGTGACACGTGAGTCACTCGAGCTTCTCCTCCTATCATCGTGGTAGGATGTCCAAAGCCACGAAGATCTTGCCTTCTGGATTCTACCCTCTCTGATATTGTACCTCCCTTCACCAGCCAGCTGGAGAAAATCTTCTGCTCCCCTCTGTCTCACCTGTAAGTCTCCATCAGCTGGGAAAGAAGCAGGCATACGTCTGGGGCTCCCTCCAGTAAGCAGCCCTGGGGCTACCCCCCCAGCACCCCCCCCAGTAAGCCAGGATGATCCGCCATTGCCACATCACCCAGTCTAGCTACATACCTTGACGCCAGGAAAGGTAACAGCAGAGGAAGCATACGAGCCGATCATGAGTGCTATGAAAGTAGATCGCAGGTTCCCAAACATGTTGGGCAGCTGGTGGGAAATAAAAGGCGGCAGCAGTCAGAAGACAAGCCCTGCCCCGTCCCACCCTTAGCACTGCCAGAGCCCTCTATTTTAATTCCAGAATTTCCAGAGCACCGCAGCACTCATGCCCTGCCTGTGGGGTTCCCATCCGGGAAACTGGTTGCCAGTGTGGAAACAAAATGCTGCACTAGGCAGGCCTTTGGCCTGATCTCGCAGGGCTTTTCGTGTGCGGCCCGTTTATCACAGCTCTGCAGGCTACAATGTCTACCAAGCTTTAGAATACACGTCCCTCTGGTTAGCCAGATGCTTATCTGGAATTCTTTCCCATCTCTCAATGTACTTCTCACTTGCCACTGAGGTCACTTTTTTTTTTTAAGTATCATCACTGAATGGTCCAGCAGGCACTACAGGGCCATTCAGTACAGGTCTGCTGAGAAGCCAAGTTCAGTGGGACTTTCTCCCAGGTTTTATCTTGATTTCCAAAATTATTCTTGGCCAAGTTTCAAAGCAGGTGCCCTTCCAAGTTGGCGTACATGATAAACCACATAATAAAAACTGATGTGGTATTAAAAACAGCGGGACTATAATCAAAGCAGCAATATGCAGCAATAAACCTATCAGGGCAAGGCCAGAGTAAAGGAGATTTTCAGGGCCATTGTCAACATCTGCAGTGATGGGGCCCTGTGGATCCTCAATGTAATGCTTTGCAGAGGTGTGGGGCCACTGCAGAGAAGGTCCTCTCTCATGTGGACAGTCACCCAACCGCCCTCCCCAGTGGGCAAATGAAAAGTCCTGGGAGGCTGATACAGGTGAAGACCATCCTTCAGGTACTTTGGTCCCAAACTGTTCAAAGCTTTACAGTTCAAGAACAGCACCTTAAATTGAGCTCAGAAGCACAACAGTAGCCAGAGTAACTGGCACAACAGAGGTATGGTATGATCAGCTAGGTCCCCCGCACCAGCACTCCACCAGCCAGCCAGATTCGGCACCAAGCGACTTTCCAAGCCAACTTCGAGGACAGTTCCACACACAGCGCATCACAGTAGCCCAACACAAATGCCATCTGTGTGCGGCTCATGGGGCCAGGGCCATCCTTTCCAGATAGGCTGCTATGCCGGCTACAGCTCTAAGGCGGGAAAATGCAGTCCTAGGCACCTGCGCGTCCCCAGGCAGCACTGAGTCCAGGAGGGCTCACAGACTGCACACCAAGGCCCTTCGGGGACAGCACAACCCCCTCTAGTTGCAAATCTCCAACCAGAGTAGTTGGTTTCACAACCCACAGAACCTCCCTCTTGTCTAGATTAAGTTTCAGCTTGTTTACCCTCATCCACTCCAAAGATGCTTCAGACACAGGTTCATAAGTGGGTATATCTGGGATGGCAGGCTTAAAAAGTGCCACACAATTAGAAAGAAGATTTTATTTTCCTCTTTCAATTATTCTGTGCAGTAAGAAGATATGAAGACATGCAAGTGGTTAGAAGTAAAGAACCAGAGTGTGGTAGTTATTCAAGGTTTATTAATGCAGGGTGCTAGATCTTTTGACCCTAGATTCTGTTAGATTTCAGTCCTAGCCAGCATATCAAATGGTCAGAAATGATAGGAGTTGTAGTCCAACAAAATCTGGAAAGCCACAAGCTCCCCACCTCTTATATTAATCTATTTTCAAAGGACCATTCCTTGAACCATGCAGAGAGAATGACCACTTTCCAACACCTGCAGATAAGGGTACTGTTTACATCACAGGAGTGGAAGCTGATAAAAAGACTGACAGCCCCAAAATTCTGCCTCCTCAGACAACAAAAATCTACCTCCTTATTTAGGAGGGCATTGTGGTGCTATGAAGAATTAGGATCCCTAGATGGGTGTGCTTGTGGTGGTAAATAAATAACTGGACTGCCTTTAAAAAAACAAAAAACTATTCCAGGAGGGAAAATTCCAATTCATGGATTGATTTTAGGATCTCAGGCATACAAGGTCTAAAAGCTGCCTCAGAATGACGGAAATAGTTGAATGCAAGGTATTGTACCCTAACCTTATACAGTATACAGCCATTTATCCATCAAGACCAGTTTTGTCTAGCCAGAACAGCAGAAGCGCTCCTTTTCCAGCGCCATAATCAGAGATCTTTTTGAACTGGGGACACTAGGAGCCCGGGACCATCTGAACAAAAGGGTGTGCACTGCCACTGTTCTTTAAGCCTCCCCACACCAAGTGAACCCACTCAGTTTTGGACTGAACGTTCCAGTCCCCTGCCCCCTTTTCCTTTGGAACAGTCCTGGGACATGGCACGGTGCCAACCAAGTCCTGAGCTCAGGCAAACAGCGGAGGACAAAGTGGCTCTACCAGGCTTCGGTTCTTTACAATATGCCCTTGCCTGAGGCAAGGAAAAGAGGGGTGTGGCTGTCTCAGTGGCCTTCTCACTGGCTGGCTATTACCCACCTGTCCCATGGACACGTCCTGACAGGTGCTCTGCCTGCCTGCCTGCCACAAAAGGCCCTGTGACCAAACAGTGAGGAAACGCCATTAGTGGGCCACAAAGCCCCATGACACAGGAGTGAGGCACATTCCAGGCCTGATTTCCCACAAGATCACCGTTTCCCTCTCTTATCTTTCTGTCAGCGTTACTTGGTTGGCTAGGACTGGTACAATGCCATTTCTCCCTGCCGAGGTCACAGCCGTGCATTTTGCTAGCGCCCAGAGCAATGGAGCAGAGGCCTCCTGTGCCGTGCCTTTCAAAGCTGCGCAGAAGAGGGATTCCAGCAGGCATAACCCTGATCAGCACCAAATGATGAGATGTGTCTCGTTTGCCGGGCTAATAAAGGCAGAGGGTATCTTTGGTCACTCTGCCTAGGTCAGGTCACCCAGACAAGCCCAACACTCACAGGAATGCCCTGCATCAGAAGAAGGTATGCGTGTCCCTCGCAACCCCCACATGGTACACACATCAAGCCAATAGTGTTCATGCTTCCTGGGTCTAAACAGGAAGGCTGTGTACACACGCAGGTATTCCTGTGCCAGCAGAGAAGGTCACACACATATTAAGCAAACGCACCCAAAACTTGGAAAGACGACACAGACGCTCAGAGAGGTGAAATGTCTGAGCCTGTACAGCTGAATTCCACCACACTGTTTTGCACCAATTTAATTGCTTTATGAGATGAGATTGCTTCCAAATTAGCTTGCTATCAGTGTGCCCACAGTAAATTGCACAAATTAAATGAGCAGAGAGAACTCCCAAGCATACAAGAAGGGCCGAGAGTTTCAGCACGAGGGGAGGCTCGAAGGGGCCTAGTTCTTCCTGCTTTTATGTCACATAAACAGAGATATCAATCAATGCTTTGTTTGCTTTGCTTTTACACACCACTGCCAGGAAAGTAAACTTGTCTCTAAACTGTACTGCTTCTGACTGCAGGTGAGGCCCACATGACTGAATGCTCATTTGCACAATAGGATATCATAGGATATCATAGAAAGCTGGGACATCAAGGAGAAGGCTGTGCTAGATTCTTCCTCCATGACATTAGATCTTCCATGTGTGAGAATTTATTTATCTGTACAGAGGGCTACTCAGATGTATGAGACTCCAGCCTGTGGGACAGTCCACAAAGCGGTCTGTTCCTCATCTCCTGATGCCGCTGCTATACATGAAAATTAAGCCCAAAGCTATGCATTCTCTCTGCGCTAAGCAAATCACATTTCCTGCCAAGCAAAGTCAAATTCCATCAGCTGTGGTTATGTTGCAAATTACCTGTACAATTTATCTGTATCTCAGGACTACAAGCTTGGACTAGTTCAGTTGGCTGATAAACTGAACATCATGTCAGGCTGCAAAGCACCCTTGTGAGGGAGGAAGCCCCATTTAAGCAAGGGGAGGTGCGTCTCATGAAAAGAATGCTGAGTGATTGCACTGCACAACAATTAACATGCGGAAATTTTAATTGCTGGAGTTCATCGCGAATGGCATGCCATTTTTGTTAAGCTGGTTTTGATTTGACTGTGCACCTGTCACAAGAAAATTAAAAGGAAGATGATAACGATGGCCTTTCCCTCTGACAGGGGAGACTGTCGGGGCAATCCTATGTCTTAGTACATCACATTACAATCCTATAACAGTCTTAGTATGAGCAGAAGAATCAACCACAGAATGATAGCTCCAGAAATAAGCAGCAATGTGGCAGCACTCACACATACCTCTAGAAACTCTGCAGCCACCCACCAATCACAAGGGACTGAATGCAGAACAAGCTGGTCATGCTCAGGTCCCATTGAAATTAATGGGGCTTAAATTAGCTGTGATTAACTTTTCACATTGATTTCAATTGGAATGTAAGTAGGGCTAACTTGGTGCAGGTCCAGCCCAACATCTCTGGCCAATGACATTCCCCTTGCACAGAGGGCACCTATCAGCATGCAGCAATGTCGCCTAGTACAGAAAGTACATAAATATACACCCTACGGTAGGTTTCAGGATCTGAGCTGCTCCACTGCACCTCCTGGTGTCCAGAACTCCAATAGCCACCGTAGTCCTTGCAGGATTGATCCCCGATCCTGCAGGAGCTCTCAGTCTCCTCCTGAGCGCCGCCTGGAAGCCCTGGAGGAAGAGCTACATAAGAGCAAGTGCTTCACTCCAGAAGCTTGCCTCAGCAATACAGGTCTTCCTCGCTTGCCTGCCAGCCGCACATTTGCTGGTCCTGAATCCCTCCCAGTTATCCTGCCTCAAGGTAGCTTCTCCCTGCTGTTTTCTTACCCATCCTTGACCTTTAGCTTATTTCCGTGCTATTCCTGCTCTGCTCAGTGCGCCTGGTTCCTGACTTCAGCCTGCTCCTTGACCATGGCCTGGCCTCTGACCTTACTATTAGACTTTAGACCATTTTTGGACTCTGCCTGGCCTCAGGTTCTGTTGCCCTGGTCCTAGTACTTGACCCTGGACTCTGACTCTCCAGGCAGCCAGAAAGAGACCTCAGCAGCTGTTGCCCGGCACAAGCTGCTATGTACAGATATGTAAACTGAAGTATAAATAGTGTAGAACAAACTTAAGGCTGGAAAAAATGTGGAACTGACAGGCACAAAGGTGGGCAGAGTTGTCCATTCCTACTGCTGTGAGCAGGAAGCATGTACAGAAAACGCAGAGGCTGCCTCAGGAATGAGTCCAAGCCCTTCTGCAAGAACAAGGCCTCTGTGAAGAGAAATTTCCACAACACCAGCTATGTGCAACATGCTGGCACTGGGGCCTGATCCTGCTGAACATGTTTGCAGACAAGGACTGAATCATGAACCTCATGGATCTGACACTGCAGTGGACAGTGGAGCATCCTCACTGACCCGAGTCACACCTTTCCCGGAGCCTTATGATTTTCATCAGAATATATCCCAAACCTACCACCAAACAAAGCTCACAGCTATGCCCAAAGAGAACCAGAGACCACAGCGCGGATGCAGCACCAAAACCTAGAACCTTCGGTTCCAAGGCTGATTACAAAACATCCCTCGTGTCATTACAGGGCACACCTCCATGCCCCTCCACAGCTGCCATTTGGACCACGCCTATCGCTATACCTTACACCAGATGGCTCTGTTCAACTCACAGGTGCAGAGCTCCATGTACTGCCATTGTGCAAAAATGCAGATCTGACGAACAGAAACCTCAGGGCTGTTAGAGGCAGGCTGCAAAAATCCACTGGACGGAATCCAGTGCTGGAAGTATTCCATGCATGGCATGGCCTTCTTCCAGGAGGTGCCTCCAGTAACACAAGGCAATTTTCCTCTCATTCCCACTCCGGTTCTCTATGATAGTTTCTACACTGCATTTTGGGATCCCCCCAACTTTCCGAAATAGACGTTGCTGCAGGGAAAGGAAAGGGCCAAACATCGCCATCATTCCTTTTCCACCAGCACTTCATGGTACAAAAACAGATCTGAGGCATGGGCTGTGATGAAGCACATTTTCGTAATCCACTTAGAGAGAGTCCTTGAGACTAATTTAATTCTGGAATACACTGATCTACAAATTTTGGGAAATTATCAACCTCCGCGATAAAATATGCTAATCCTTACATATTTTGATTAGATGAATTAGAAAACAGGTGCTAAAGGAGCTGGTTGACTCAAGTTTTCAAGGTATTTCACAATAAAGATTTATACACAGGCAAGTATAATTGTCTACAAGGGAGGGAGGTGCCTGATGATCATGATGCCTCGTACCTTCTTGGCAAAGTACGGTAGAACAATGAAAATGGTACCACGTGGAAGTGTATAAATTTATCTTCACTTTGAGACTAAAGATTATTACCTAACTGTTGTTGTTGTATTGCAAGGTACATTTGTCTTGGTCAGATCTATGCATCAGACAGTTACATCTGGTGGCTAGTGAAAGTGTCATCGCCTAACATTTCCAAGGAACAGGTGCGTGATACTTTCCCTCAGAAGCCAAGAAGCCTCAAAACTGTGTAAACAAGGCAGGTAACGTCTGCTACATTTGTGGCAAGATTACATTTGCATCTCAAAAGGGCAGTATGACGGCGGGGTAAAAAGGCATACCACCTATATTTTGGATGCAAAACAGGGGATCAGGACAAGAGTTGGCCTCCTCGATATTGCTGCATTACATGTGCAACTTGTTTGTGTCATTGGCTAAACAAGAAGAAAAAGCCCATGCCTTTCGCAGTCCCAATGGTGTAGAGGGAACCCACCAATCCTAGTAGTGACTGCTATTTTGCATGGTTCCCCCAGTTGCAAAAGGGATCTCAAGAAAGAAGAAGCTTCACAACACTGCTGTTGAACAAAAATGCACCTCTGAGGAATAGGCATTCATCACTTTACAGGCTGGCTAAAGAAATACACTGTTAAATCAGAGCTCACACAAGTGTATACGGACTCAACTATAAATGTAACAAATGCAGATTTGCACCAACACTGGGCTGCAAAGGACTTGCTCTGTGTGGAAGGGGCAAATATTGAGCACTGGTGGCAGTGGGTTTGAGGCATCTCCACATAACTGTCAGGAAACCTCCTGCCTTGGATCCAGAGTTTTGTGCCAGAGCAGCAGCATAACGTGTGTGGTTAGGATTGTTGCAGAACAGCCCATGAAGACAGATGTGGGCAAATGTTGGACCAAGGACTTACACCAGGAGCAGGGAAATCGCTCTTAAGCCAAGAGCCAAGTTCAGTTTCTGATAAGCTTTCAAAAGCCACACTCCACTGGTGGACAGTACTCAAGGCAAAACAGTGAGCCCCAATACACACACACACACACACACACAACATATTGTGATCCTGGCTAGGGAGTGCGGGGGGTTGAAGGACTTTTTGCAGTCAAAATATCCACAGAGTTTTGCCTTAAATCTCTTAGTGCCAATAACACTTAGGGCAGGTATTTCAACCTTCTAAACGGGGAAAACTGTACAAAAGCCTTTTTTTTAAGCCCACCAAATGGTGAGTAGCAGGGAGGGAAGTGGGTCACCGGAGGAGAGCGGGAAACCTCAGAGGGTCAGATTTGGCTGCCAGGCCTGAGGTTGTCCATTCCTGAGTCAGGCAGTCCCTGTGTATTCCGGATCCCTTGCAATCCCTATTTGAAGCATGACATTGAGATTCCTGGGGTGTACACAATATACAGAATACAGGCAGCCCTGAATAAAACATTGTACCTGCATTCAAAGAAAAGCAAGTATACAGCTGGGGTGACTGAAATGAGACAGGAATCTCCCATGTTCCAGTTGCCTGAATCAAAAGTCGTTGCTTTAAGTTATCAGAAAGGGGTCCAAAAATGGCTAAGGAAATCCAAAGGACTGAGCCATCTGGTGAAGCTCAGTGCAAGAGGCCATGACAAAGGAGCAGGCGCCAGTTCCAACCTGCCTGAAGCACCTGCTGCAGCCACCCACAGCCTTGGCGATGGGCCAGGATACTCCTCTGCGCACAGGGAAGATAAGCAGCCCTGCCCCACGTTCTCCATGAGCCAATTGGCACACATCTCCCCAGCGTTCTCTGCAGGTTATCCTGTTCCTCAGAAAGCAGATACGGCCGGCTACTTGGTGCGCCTCAGGATATTTTGGCTGCAGCTGTGCCATAGCCCATGCTGGCTGGGGCTGATCAGAGTTGTAATCCAAAACATCTGGGCACCAGTCTGCCTACTCTTGTTCATAGTGGGGCGGGGTGGGGGGGAGCAGAGGTGGAGAGAGCAGGCTGAGATTTTCATAGTGCCTGCAGAAAAGCCAAGGTCCCCTTTCCTGCACAACTGCTCGAGAAACAGAAGCTCTGCCCGCCTTTGTCACCCTTGGAGGGTGGGGGCATGAAGCCTTATCCCCTGTGCTAAATAAGGACTGTGGTTTTAAAAAGTCCATAGTCTTCAACAGGGAAATCCAGATCCCAAGCCAAATCCATTGCTCAAACTGCAGCAAACAATCAACATGCACACACGTATACATGTTTCACCCTGGGGATGTTTTGTTTTGTTGGAGATTTTGCAAGACTTGGCCCCTTCGACAGTGTTAGGGGAGGAGGCTGGGCCAGAAGCAGCATGGTCTGACAAGATACAGGATGAACACCTGGCACACAGGAAGTCGAGTTGCACAGACAGCATTAAAGCATCCCTTCTGCAAAATCTCTCTACTTCCCAAAGTAGGAAACTGTCAGGAAAGGTTTCGAGGAGGTCAATACATTCCCTGTTCCTGCCCAGAAGGCTCAGCCTGAACTAGAGCCATGTGGGAAGCACTCAGATGTTCTCAGGACAAATAGGCTGAGGAATCTGTTCAGGCACCCTGTTTTTCTCACTGGGCTGTTTGAAGAGACCCAGTTCCACCCTTTTTATGTCCCAGGTTCAGCCCTGGGGCCTCCTTCCATTTTCAAGACACCTTGTGGGGCCACATTCCAGTTGCAGGTAGGACCAAAGACAAAAAGGTTGGGCCAAAAGACCACAAGCACCAACCAGTTGTATCTTAAAAGCTTTTCCTGTCCATCACTAAGCCACGGGAAAGTAACAACAGCAGCAGTGGTAGCACTGCTAATGGTGATGATGATGTTTTAATAATGATGATCTTGAACTTTTAGAAAGGGGGAAAAGCTGTGCAAAAGCCAACAAACCACCCTGTGTTCAGTGGTCTGGAAAATGATCTATGGTCAAGAGAAGGAGGCATTAGTGTTTGGAGAATGAATTAGATTCCTAAATAGACTGAATTTGTCCCCAAGACCTGAAGGTGTGAACCCTGCTTTATGGAGTGAAAAGAATGACCCAGTGCTTTCCCCATACGTACAGTCAAAGAGGTGAAGGTCAGGCAGATCCCTCCAAAGCCATTCAGGGAAAGGCCAAGAAAAATCAGTGGCGAAAGAACTGGGAAGAGAGAACAGAAACAAGGGGTGAACAGGTAAGTAGGGCCATCGCAAAGTGGGCTGGGTTTGCAATATGGAGACGCAAAGGCAAGGCCTGGAAAACTGGGGCAGGGGAAGGAGCAACAAGGCCAGAGAATCCCACACACTTGGCAAGAGAAGGAACAGCATGAATCAAAGGTCTGCAACACAGAGATCCATCCTGGCTCTCACAAGGAGGATGCAGCCATCGCCTCTCCTTGGCAAGCCCTGGCACTCAAGCCCCACCTCTGCCTGTCGGGGGACAAACAGGAGGGCCCCTGCTCCAGGGCTGGTGGAGGGAGGGAGAAGGGCCACGGGAGCAGGGGAATGTCGCGATGGGCAAAGGCTCGGAGGCACCCGCCTTTTCAGCTGCCGGGTTATTAAGAAGAGGAGGGGAGTTCACCTGGCAACCCGGAGCAAACCAATGTGAGTGCCCAAGGGTGCCAAAGAGAGCCGTCTCACCTGGTGGGTCGTGGGCAGCCAGGGCCATGAGGGCGCAGGAGAGCGCAAAGCTGGCACTGCAGAGCAAGTAACAGACACATCAGTGCAACCTGAGACTCAGGTGATGCCACCCCCTCAGAGAGACACCTCGCCACCTTTTAGGAAATCATGCCCTTCAAATCCCACTCATCTTCCCCTCTCCTCCCAAATCACAATTTAGTCTACATTTCTGCCCTTGTTCCTCCTCTCTTATTCTGGAAACCATTTTCAAATTCCCGTCACAACACAGGTCTCCCTCCCCAGTGACCTCAGGCTGAGGATTATTTCACCCAGGCCCCATCTGCCATTGCCCCAAATCTCTGCTCCTTACCTGCCAATCAGGCGGAGTGGCCTGGGGCCAAGTCGGTCCATGAATATCCCAAGTGGCAAAGTAGCAGCACTTAGTAAGAAGGAGCCAATGGTGAAACCCAGGTTGAGCATTTCCTCCTGTTCCACACAGCTGGGCCACCGGTGAGATGTGCTGGCTTCCCCTGAGCCATTGGTGGCATTCCCACCTGAAGCAAACAAGGCAAACTGGATCAGTTCCTTTCCTCTTCTGTACAGGCCTCATTTTCACACCACCCTATTCTAGTGCTGGACAGCTGCTCCTGCCCATGTGGAAGCAGCTTGAGGTCCCTTTTCACACCTCCCTCCCTCACAGGCTAAAGGAAATGCAGCTCCAGTGTGGTCATACCACAAACAGAGGAGGTGGGTGAGCCACCCAACTGGAGAAAGAATGGTAGAAGTGCCAGCACTCTGCCCCCTTGCATGGGGAGGTTGTCAGCAAAGTGGCAAGCCCAGAGTAACATTAGGAGAGGGTATCTGTCTGAGATCAGACTTGCAGGAGAAAATGCCGCTAAGGGATGGTGTTTGCTGGGTGGCAAGACCTTCTGACGTGGGTGGGGACACATTGCTTTGACCAGAATTTACAAGAGAAGCAGAACTTGCTCCAGATTGATCCTGTGGGAGTAATGGAATAAGATAGCCACATGTACTTTGGGCCTGAGAAAACTGGTGGCTTCTCTGAGGTGCGGCCCCATCATGAAAGTTGTACAGATAAATTTCAAGAATGGCATTGATTCATGGTTTCATTTGTTCCCCATTGAAGTGCCTTCTCACGTTTGTTCAAAGGTCAACCAAATATAGTTGCCATTCTTTTTTTTCTAATACCCCAAGTGCTCCTACCTAGGCCATTTTAGCGCAGATGCTTCCCATCCCATCCATTTATCTATGTTGTAAGCCGCCCTGAGGCTTCGGCGAATGGGGCGGCATAAAAATGTTTTAATAAATAAATAAATAAATAAATAAATATTGGTTACAGATTAATATTTTTAACTAGGGCTTTGTTTTGTGTTTGTTGAGATCATGATTTTCTTTACATGTGTTCTTTTTGTTGCCTGTATTACTTTATTCTGAAATAGAATAAAATGTCATGGAAACAGCGCATTGGGTGAATTGACTCCAGAGGCTAAAATGTACCATGTGTCCTGTGAAGACAGGCACAATGGCCGGGGAGAGTTCCCTGGGGCAACAATCCACAAGGCAAGCAGTGGGCGAGTCCTTTAGAGCTGGTCCTTGCACTGTTTATCATGGGCAGATTCCTTTGCGGAATCGCTTACCACTTCACTGCCATAATGGGAAGTGTGGACTACCATGCTGGACTTCCACAGCATTTGGAAATGTGTTCTCACCAGACTTACCTACTGCCAGCCTAAGTGGCACCAACACCAGGAAGCTCCACATGGCATGGAGTTATGGTGGCTGTGGTGGTAAGCCATAATTCTGAAGCTGCTGGAAGCAACCTTGGTAAGTCTTAAAGGGTCTGCCTTGCATTGAAATGGCTACTGCGCTGCAGTCATGCAAACCCTAACAATGCCACATCCCTGGGGGAAACCAACACAGATTAAGTTAAGTGACTGGGTTCAGACATAATGACAGGCCTCAGTGGAAATTGTGGTGGCATGGCTTCTCATTTTATCTGAAACCAGCAACCATGGTGAAGTATGGAAAAGATGGTCTCCATGGAGCCACACAGAGAAACAACAGTCTGTCCTATGGTTTCCACACTTCACCACAGCTACTTTGTGCATTTGAACCCATAGAGTTCTGAGCAAAGAGTGGCCATGGCTGCAGTGACCACTCCTGCCTGCACTCATCGCTGTCCAGGTCTGCCTAGCAACTGTGATTTGCAGCCAGCAGCACTCTGATTGGCTGCACTGTGCTCATTCCCCGCTTTTTCCATGCACTGCCTTCGGATGCCCACCTGCATCTCCAGAATTCTTGAGACAGTGGGACATCACCACCTTCACCAGCAGCAACCTTGGGGACGGCCATGCCTGGTGCTCCTGTCTGGTCACTGCAGGTGGCTTGGGCAGTACCTAGAAACTGCCTGCAGAAGTGTGATCCACTCCCACTCTCCTCTCGAGAAAATTGCCTATGCAAGAGGAGCAGGCAGGCTGCATGCGGGCATGACCAAGACAGCGGGCATCCTGAGGAGCCCGCATCTCGTGCGCCATCTCCCGCCGGCATCTCCACTCCTACCTCGTCCCCGACATTCCCCAGAACTGCCAGCAAGCCCCGCTGTCCTCCATCCCCCGGCAACAGCTGTGCCACAAACACAATTCAGGCCGTTTGGAGGGAGGCTTGCCTGAAAGGACACACTCCTCCCATCTCTGGCACGGGTGATGCCCTCCAGGTGCCTCCACATGTGCAGTGAGGGGGCAGAGCAGATGTGAAGGTGGGTGTGCTTGTACGTTGGCACAGAGCAAGGCGGCAGCAGCAGGGAGTGTAACTCTAGAGCAACGGTGCTGCGCCAGTGAGCAGGCAGCAGCAGGAAAAAAGGGAAGACAAAGGAGGCAGCTTGCTGAGGCCACACTCGGGGAGAAACGGCCAACACACAGTGCAGTGCACACTGGGATTGATTATCAGCCACAGGGGACGATGGGGTATGAGCTGCCATTAGGAGGGTGCAACCTACTTGGACGTGGAAACCATGCGTCTGACTGAATCCAAGACCCAGTGTAAGATCCTGCGCAACATGGTGTGACGCTATGTGTGAATGCAGCCTCTGTCTTTGCCAGAGAGCTAAGTGTCAGCCCCACCAAGACCCTTTTCCAGAAAGCTTCTCACAAGCTCCCTTATCAGCAAGGCAGTTCCTGCTGCATGGGGCTAATCAAGCCAGCACAATCTTAGCCTCATTTATGGCTCTGCTCTGCTGTTGACTGGATGAGCACGGCCGCTTTTGAAATGCCAGGAAGACCCCAACAGTCCTGGGATGACACGGTGGGAAAGAGTGGGGAGGGGTCTCTGCAGAGCTTTGGGGGAACCGTTACTGTGACCACCAGTGTAAAATGCAAAGCCATGGCGGACAAGGCCATTAATGGCTACAGGTCATGATAGCTGCATGCCACCTCCAGGATCGGATGCCGCGTGCCTCTGTGCACCACCAGCTGCTGGGGAACATGGGCGGGAGGGTGTTGCTGCACCTATGCCCTCCTTGGGGGTTTCCCAGGAGCAGCTGGCCAGCCAGTGTGAACAGAAGAGTGCACTAGTGGCCCTGATCCAGCACGGCTCTTTCCATGTTTCCATGGCTCCATCCCAGCTTCTCTCCAAAACTCTCGCTGCCGCTGACCCACCCTGGGACCTTCGCACGTTGCTTCCTTCCCTCTCACCTTGGCACAAATGAGAGTAGAATCCTTCGTGCTTGAGCATGATGAGCAAGGAGCCCCAGCCCAGCAGGACCGCGGAGAAGAAGAGGTTTTCCACCACGGCCGTGCAGGCCATCCACCAGCGCCGGCGGTAGGCCTGCTCTAGGGTGGGAGCCATCTTCTCTGGCTTGGGAGACGGGGCTGAAAAGCAAGGGAAGAGCCACATCAGCCACCCCCCACACTGCAGCCTTCCCACAGAGCACAGGCCTCCTTCTGCAAGCTGATGGCACAGAGCTGGAGAGGACGGTGGGGCGTTATTCACTATCTCGCAGACAAGAATGGCCAGGGAATTGCAGATAGCGCTAACAAACTAACCGGTTGCAGTGCAAAACACCAGATGCTGCTTGAGATTTAGGAAGTAATAAAGAAGTTATTGAAAATCCACGCGTCGGGAAAACAAACACCATTCTATTCTTCACATTATGCAGGCGCTGGTTCTGCAGCAGCACGCTGGGTGGGGGAGATGTTTTTATTGTAGGAAAGTGGAAGAAAGCTAGCAGGGCTAAAGCAGCAAGAGGGTAAGATACTGGACAGGAAAGGATAGAATTTCCTGAACCACACACATACCGATTTCCTGGCCGGGGCATCGGCCAGAAGACTAGCAGCTGCAGGGATTTTGCAACCTGCCCCCCCCCCCCCAAGAACTCAGCTGCCCGGTCAAGTGCATTGTGGCCACCGAAGCAAGGGGAGGGCACCGCCTGGCAGCAGCCACTGGACAGAGGGCCAAGAGCAGCAGAGCCGTTGCCTCCCTCCGTCCCAGGAAGAAGAGGCTTCAGAACTGCCAGCTGCTCTCCAAGGTCAATACACTTGTTGTGTTCGCCTGCATCCACTTTTTTTTTCAAATGTGCATGTAAAGCTACCAGAATGGAGTGAATTAAAGAAAATTACTACTGCATTAACAACTGCTAATGATACTTTGTATACTGGGAAAATGTGATTTCCCCCAAACACAGATGTATTTCCTTGATTAAATGCACCTGCACCTCCCTCATGCAAGTTTTAAGCATATAATATGAATTGGATTGAAGACATATAACTTAGCTGGATCAGACTCAAGTCTATTTTTGCCGAGTATCTGCAATTAAGACGCAATGTAGCACAGTGACTGCAGCCTTCCTTCAAATGTGCTGGGCAACAACTTCCTGTGTGTGTGAGTGAGAGAGAGAAAGAGCGAGAGAGCGGGGGGGATGCTGGGGATAATGGGAGTAGTCCAACACATCCAGATTGCACCAGGCTGAGGAAAGTCTAGGCAAGTATTGGGCTAGGACTGGAAAGATCTGGGATTGATCTTTCAATCCAGCTTGCTGGGTGGCCCTGAGCCAGGTGCTCCTCTCTCAGCCTAGTCCAGTGTCCTTCACTGGCAGCTCCCAATGGATTCCCATGCTGTTCTCTTCTGCTGCTTCTCTAGCTTCACCTCGCTGCTTGCTGAAATCAGTGAATCAGGTGGGGAGTCAGGACAGCTACAGCTCATCAGCTATAAGGTGGCTTGGGACGGGGAAGGGATGAAAATCCGGGAGCAGTCAGTCAGCTGGCTGTGGGGGTGGAGGAACCCAAGAAGCAAAAAGCACTGTGACTGGCTACCCACAGAGATGCAGCACGCAAGCCCCGAAGTGGTCTTGTGGTGGCATCTGGGGCCACAGAGGCGGCAGTGAGCTGGTCCCTTCCCTTCCTCCCACTGGCCCTAAAACTCAAGAAAATCCTTTAAAATGCATTTCTCTTATTTAGACTCCACAGACAACAGAACAGTTTGAGCTCCAATAACCTCCTACCAAAGCTGGAAAGGGAAGCTCCTGCTCATGTAAAGAGCTGAATCCAAACTAGATGCTCTCCCTCAATCCCTCCCTTTCTAGTAAAACTTCTGGTTCCAGCCTCAGGGTGCTTCTCGCTGCCTGAGGGCCAGATGGTGCGAATGGCAACGCCTTTCTGGTTGAACAGCTCAATCCTCGAGATGCCTCCCCACTGGGTCAAGGATTGGCTCTCACACTTGCTCCCTCTCTCCTCCTGGAAACCCTTCCTCCCCTTCCTGAGAAACTTCATTAGATGCTCTCAAAGGGCTCCCTCCTCCCAGCTCCTCCTCCTCAGAATCCTCTGATGACTACCACTGAACAGTCTGCAGCACGGCCCCCTCTCTGCATCACCTCCTGGTTGAAAAAAAGCCAAGCCCCCTGGCTTTGCCTAGGGCTGTTGTGGGAATGAAATGAGGTGGGGGAACCACGGTGATTCGAGTTCTTTGGAGGAAACGCTGAATAAAAAGGTCACACATGCAAGCCCTGTATCTAAGAGACTTAAGCCCTCTGCTAACTTTCAACTTCTGTGTAATGAAGACTCATGGAGGGAGATGGGGAAGCCACGTGTGCTCACTTAAATCTCTGCATGGTACCAAACTGCATGCAGCTCTGTGCATAACTTCCATACGAAGATTCAGCGGAAAGCATGCAGCGCTCAGGTGGGGCTTGAAGGCACAATCCAAGCAGACATGCTCACTGGGCACAGTTTCAATATATTCCTGAGGCCTTAGCTGTGAACTGAAAGGTCCACTAAGAAAGGTTCACTAAGGGTGCAACCCTGTGCACATTTAGAGAGGAACACGTTCTATGTCCCCCATCATCCCCCTGTCTAAATGTGCACAGGGTTGCGTCCTGGGTAGCCTTCAGGGACTCACTGTATCTCAGTGCACATCTCAGCCTCAGCCCTTCCCACATGATCCTAACAACTGTAAAAGGGCAGTTGAAAGGCAAATTTAAACATGGTACACAAACCATTTTGCAGAAGCAAAAAAATGCCGTATAATAGCTCAAGCATGATTAGTTGCCAAACTTGAAAACAAGATGCTATCAGGTGTCCCAGGACTGCAGAAGCCAGATTGCCCCGGCATGGAACCTTTTCCTTACTTGTAAGGGCTCCAAGGGTTATGCTGGACTCTTGCGTTCTGCAGGCAGTCTTTTGATTCTGAACATCAGGGGCTGGCACGCCTGGCGTTCGGCGGTTGTAACAGGGTGGGTCTCCACTGATTGAATACTTTCTGTAAGGAGGCAGAAGGGGAAGTAAACAGCTTGGCATGAAATGCAGGAATGACACTAAATCCAGCAGCAGTAGTAAGCCAGCACAGCGGAGGAGGAGGCAATGCTGATTGCTGCTCAAGTAAAAAGAAGAACAAGAAAAGAAAATAACACACGAGTTAGCACTGGAGCTAAACAAACAGGAGCCTTTGGCACAGATGTTGCCTGTGGAATCCAACACCAGATAGCAGCTGTTGCTTGAAACACTTAGTAGAAAGCTGGATTACAGGAATGCTTTGTTTGTAGAAGTTAAAAGGAGATGCCCCATTCAACAGAAATTAGGGGTGGCCAGCCTCTAAAGAGTACTGAATTTCCCAGAGGAATGTGGGCAAATCCTAAAGGGAAATGAATCTCCAGGGTGAGGTGATCCACTGCTGTCTCAAAGGTGACTGTCACCTTAAAGAGACAGGTGGGGTGGAAGAACCATTTGACACTGATGCAATACAGTGTGTTGGTAGAGCGGTTCATACTTCACTCAGTTCTGAGTAAAGCATGGATTTGACAGCACTTAGTGAAAGACATCTTGATCCCCTTGTATCCTGACAGAAAAGGAAAGGATATGCATTATAGACACGCATGCATAAACATTCTCTCCTCCTCACGCATGAGTGTTCTGTGAATCCGTTATGAAAGACAGCAGGGCACCACCGTGCTGCATACGGCTGAAAGGCAGACATTTGGAAATACTGCTTTCATTGGAAGCCAGCTTCTGTTCTTTGCAGAGGCAATGAAAAGCCCATAAAGCACCTGTGGGCAGAGTTTGTTAACATCCATGCAGGGAGCCGAAATAGACATCCAAAGGAACGGGGCTGCTGCAGACTGCACAGCTATCCTGTTCTTCATATTGGCCTGTAACACCTGCCCCAGGTGTGCCCATCAGGGTCCCATCTTTCTTTGCTCCAGCGAGGCAGGGTGATCAAATGCCAAGCAGGGCACAGGGTCTGCGTGCTTAATGGCTGTGCAGAGGAGTGCTTTCCAGAGGCAAAACACTGCAGGGCTTGCCAGATGGTTCTAGTCATATCCCACCAGCATCACCAGCCTTTGCAGCTAGCAAAAAGGGCTCTGGGAAAGGAGCGGGGAGAAGACCCACACATTCTGTGAAAACCATACCCACAATTAAAGCACACACACACAGGAAATGAAGGAGATTGAAATGCATCTAATGTGCCACAAACCCTAGAGGTTACCATTTCCAAATATCTGCAGGTCTGCACAGCGCCTTTTTTGTAAGAAAAAAAGTGCCAGAACTCACATCTTGTTAATCTTTTATTTAAAAAATTATATATTCAGATCTTAACATAAATTTAATTTACTGTATTTAAGGCAAATGTTCATAGTAAATTCCAAAGTTTTGTCCAATTCTCGTCCGACAAATCTTCTCAGCTCCTTTCCCTGCTGTTAGTATCTATGGTCGAATGTCGTCCTCTGAGCAGGACTGGTGGTTGAGAAGTAATTAGTAATTTTTTTCATTTTTAAATTTGGGGTCACACTTTTACACTAAACATTAAAAAAAGATTTTCAATTCACCAACCTTTTTTAAAATAAAGAAATGATTTACCTTTCACATGTAGTCAATGACTGTACACACACCCACACGTCAGTTGTGTAACAAAACATAACGGTCATCACCCACAGTAAGCACTCAGCGTGCAACCACATGACCAATCACAAGCCGAGCAGCGCCATCGCAACCAGTGTGGACGAAGGACGCATGCATCGGACTCGAAACACAAGCAGCCCGCATGCACCGTTTTAATGATTTTGCCGCCAACCTGCTACGCTCAACAGGGCGATTCAAACCCACGTGGACCAAACATCAAATTTTCAAAAGTTACGTTTAAAACTTGGAAAATCTGTCGAAAAAAGGTGCCGGAACTCTGTTCCGGTGCGTTCTATGAAAAAAAAAGCACTGGGACTGCATATGTGAACAATGTCTTAATATATATTTGTTTATCTTTGCCAATGACATTGTATCATAAGGAGCAACAGCAACAAAAAAGACAGGTCCCTGCTCCAAAGAGGTTACACTGTAAACTCTGGCAAAAAAGGAAAAATGAGCAGAGGGGAGAGGAGGGGGGAGGGTTACATTTGGAGATAGGTTCTTTCGTGCCCATCTGTTTTTATATACCTGCAGCTATAAATGTTCTTGGCTTCTAGGTCTAGTAAAACGAAGGCTGTAGAGACATGCCATATGGATTCATGCTGTTGAAACTAGGTACTTTTACTTCCCTTCATCACCACTCAGCTGGATGTCAGCGTGGCAGAGGCTGAACTGGTTTGCCACAAACAAAAGTAACCTGTTCTGGACGGTCAAGCAAACCCTCCCAATCTAGATTCCTTCAAACAACTATTTCACTGTGGAAAGGGAAGTGAAAACATTCTGCCTGGACAGAGCTGTCCTGGAAACTAGCATGAAGAAAGCATCTTTTGAAAAAGAGACGAACTAGCACTAAACCACATCATCCTAGTCACCAGGGGCATAGATCTGGCAGGAAGCTGTCTGGAGAACACCTTGGCTTTTGATAGAGGCAGGTTCTGTCTGGGCACTGCCATCTCAGCAACAGTTTTGGATAGGAAATTATCTCATCAATGCATCACAGGGACCCAATCGCCTTCGCAGAGAAAACCAAATAGGCAGAGCAAGGCAAAGGCCAAATTTGTGCAAGACTGCAGACCACCGGATTGTCTATTATTTAGGCTACAATCCCATATGTACTTACCTGAAAGCAAGTCCTACTGAACTCAGTGGAATCTACTTCTGCATAGACATGCCGAAATTTCAGGGTTCATCTACTATTATAACTGCTGGGGGATATGGGTCAGAATAGGAAAGTCCGCCGCATGCACCCAAATATCACGGGCAGTCCCTGCCAACGCACCCCACCAGAGTCCACACAGCTGTGATCCTAACCTAAGGGATGTTTCAGAGAAAAGGGGGAATGTGCAGGGGCACCGCACACAGATTGGCACAGGAGAACTAAAAGCAACAGGCTCCTGGGAGAGGAGGTATGTGGTGCCAAGCAGTATCTTCAGGGCATGCACTGAAGAAGTGAACCTCCGTCGGAATGTATGCTGAAGGCTGCTGAAAAACAATCGTGCCAGAACTATGGAAGGGGACACCAACAGTAGGGGTCCGCTCCCCGCAGGTCTGGCTCAAGACAAGTTGCTGCCTGAGGCTGAGGAGCAAAAGGTCACCTGCCTGCCCTACCAAAGGTGCACACTGCTCAGAGCCAGTCCAAGTGTTTTGGCACAGGAGGCAGAAAATCCCACCAGCACCCCTCGCCCTCTCTGGCAGTAATAATATAAACCTGCGACTTAAACAGCTCCCAGTGTGCTGCCCAACAGCTGCCCCCTCACTGGGATGGCCGCCCCCACCGGGATTCCCCTTGCCCAGGACTCGTGTCCTCCAGAAATGGGGGAGCCCCGCCGAAGGCACGCGGGGGAGGCCCACACACGGCTCTGCCCCACTCGCACTGAGAGTGGACCCCTTCCAACCCCATTTCTTCCGTGCCCGGCTGCCCCCCCCCCCCCCGGGCCCTGCTCCCGGGAAACAGCCGCCCCCATCTGCCCCTCGTGTGCCTTGTCCCCATTCGGACCCTGTGCGGGGCGCGGAAGGGGCGCATTCGGAAACTCCGCCGGTCCCCGGAGCCGCGCCGAAGGACCCCGCGCTTTTATTGGCCGCTCCCGGCGGGGCTGTCATTCGCCTCCGACCGTCCGCTGCCTTGCCCGCGTTCAAGCAGCTCCTCATTGGCGCAGCAGGCCGACTCCCCGTCCCTTTTTTCCGCGCTGGGACAGGCCAGGGCGGCCTCTCTTTCCCAAGTCCAGCAACACCGAGAATATGTGCGGCGAGCGGCGTCAGCACATGGCCGAAGTTCCCCCCACCCAGTGCCAGCCCGACCCAGAGGCAGCCGCCGCCGCCGCGGCCGCTGCCACGTGGAAAGCAGCGCCCTGCCGAGCCCCGGGCTCACGCCGCACCAGGGGGCCGGGGCAGCCCCACCCGGGCGCCCGCGCCCGCCCGCCGCGATCTTCCGCCCCCCGGGCTCGCCAGCTCACCCGCGGCTCCGTTCTCGGCGGGCTGCAAGGAAGTCGCGCCGCCCTCTCCTCGCGGGGGCCGGGCGGAGACGGGCGGCTCCGCTCCCCCGAGCCTCGCAGGCGCGCTCCGGCCGCAGCTCTCGGGCGCAGCAGAAGTTGGCCGAGCCGCCGCGCTGAGCACGCCGCGCGGTCTGCCGCGTGTGCGAGCGCGCAGCGCCCCCGGCAGGAAGTCTTCGCCTCGCCCGCGCGCGGGAGTTTCGCAGGTGGGGGGCCAAGCGGCTACGTGCGCGCCCATGCCTTTATAAGGGCATGGGCGCATGTCTGCATGCTCGAGGAAACCCGCGGCACTCGGGGAAAGGGGGACCCAGGACCCCGAGGGCAGCCAGGGAAGCAAAGGCGAAAGTGCGCGCGGAGGACTCATGCTCGCCCCCTTGTGGAGGGGGAGGATGCGGGCTCTTCCCGCCCTTCTCGCGCTCTCGAGTCAGCGAGGAGGCCGAGCTGGGTGCCGGCAGCGCTGAGCTCCAGTCCCGCTCGTCCGTCGCAGCCTCACACGGGGTGGTCTTGAGCATCTTTCTGCCTCCTTTGCACCTCCCCATCGTAAAATCAAAACCATCTGCCTCACACTGGGCTTTTCTGTGAGCAAGTACAGTGCAGTATGGTAGAATTTAAGGGTGTGGATGTTTCTGTTTGTATTTTGTAGAGAAAGTGGGCAGGGAGACATTTGCCCCCCTCTCTCAGGGCACTAGGTAGTTGGGGAGTTTTGGAGACATAGAAAAGTGTGTAGGCAAACTATGGAATCCATTACAAGGTGTGGTGACGGCAGCCAATTTTGGATGGTTTTTATACTGAATTGGACACATTCATCTCCCCATGATTAGTCACTTGAGGCTCAGGTAGCCTAGAGTGTGTTTTACCAGCTCTGGCCACTACCAGCAGTGCCCCTATCCAAACAGGATTAGCCTGATTTCAGCAATCTGTGCTCTGGCAGTCTCTGAGCAAGATGACTGCAACGGGGCTGCTCTTGAAGACTGTTCAGAAGCTTCAGCTCATGCGAAGCACTGCAGCCAGACTGGTAACTGGTACTCATAGATCTGAACCTATAAGATTGGTCCTGGCCTGCTTGAATTGAATCCCTGGATGTTTCCCCATCCTGATTCAAGGAGCTGGTTTGATCCTATAAAGCTTTAGACAGCTTGGAACTGTATGCTGTACTTTACCCAGGCTCTAAGCTCAACACTGGCTCTAAGCTCTGGCACTTCCTACCAATGCCAGATCCAAGGAAGACTCAGAGGGCAACACCAGTGAGAAGGAGGGCTTTCTCCATGATGGCCACCTGATGAACTCCTCGTTTAAGGGTGCTTGGTGCCAACCTTGCCATCTTTCTGAATAATGCTTAAGATGGTCATTTCTGCCAAGGCCTTTAAAGATACACATGGCTGTTCAAGGGCTTGTGGAGTTACTCATCCCAGGTGTTTATAGATCTACCCTTCGTTATGTGACAATTTGGATGTTTTTGATCTGTATTTAAGAGTTTGCATTTTGGAAAAATGCTGTGTTTCTTTACTGCATCATTTTTATGAATTGTTGCAAGCCCCCCAGAATACTTCAGCTGTTGGAAGGCACAGAAACGAATAATAACAAAGCTCTTGGCCAGTGGGTAAGGCTGTCCGTGGAGGATAAGCTCTTAATGGCTATTAGGCCTGGTGGCCGGATGCTACGCAGTGTCGCAGGCAGCAGGCCTACTGAGCACTGATGCGTCTCCCATGGGCAGTTGGCTGGTCACTGCGTGGACACAGTGCTGGACTGTGAGCCGATCCAGAAAGAGCTTTTTATGTTCTTATACAAAGGCACATCTAGGTACCCAAGTGCTGTAATTCTTATAATCAAAAACACACCTCTGGGTGACATGTGAAACTATTATAATAGAAGAAAACATGGAATAATAATGGAAATAATAATACAGGAGGAAAACACAGATTTTATCCATAAAAAGTATTTCTTAAGAACATAACTCCTTCCATACACCAGTGCAATTGGGTAGGGCTAAATACAGACAGTGGATGAACTGTGCGAGGTATTTATTATTTACATTTATGTACCACTCCTATAGCCATTCAGGGCTCTCTGGGCAGTGTACAAGCCAAACATAAAAAGAAACAACCATAACATTCATACTATAAAAACCATCCAGTAAAATACAATAAAATGTATAATACAATCCAACAGACAACTACAACAGTCAGTAAAATTACTGTGGCACAGCAGTCATAAAAACAACCATTAGAATTTCTAAAAATCTAAACTATTAAACCAACAGTTCTTAAAATGTCTGGAAAAACAAAATGTCTTTGCCTGGTGCCAGAAAGATAGCAATGAGAGTGCCAGGCATGCTTCTCTGGGAGCTTATTTCATGGATGGTGTCCAGCCACCAAGAAAACCCTTTTCCTTTCGCCACCCCTCTCCTCTTGAGGTAGCAGCTCCCTGAGAAGTGCCTTTGCAGCTGATCTTCGTGGTTGGGTAAAACACGGGAGTAGGTGTTCCTCCAGGTATCCTGGCCCCAAGCCTTTTAGGGCACATTTTTAAAGTCAATCTCATGCTCTCTGTTCTCTGCACCTCTTCAATACAGTTGCACTCAAGTATGGAAGGAGCAGAACATCTCTTTTTCTAACAGTTTCCATGCAGCAGTTGTAATTGAGGAAACTGTGATGGCCCACCAGCCAAAACATTGCTCATGATAGCGGCAGTGTAACTCTGTCTTACGCTTCCTGGCTGAGTGCCAAATTTCCCTCTTCCCAATTGAAATAAATAATGATTTAAAATATTTTGAGACAGCACAATAAGGATGGTGAATTTGCCACTCCAAAGAATACCATTTGGTGTTCCAGACTCTGTAATCTGAGGCTTTTCATCCAGGCTGAGATATGGTGTCACACAATACCAAGTCTGTGAGCACTTGCTTTCAATAGCTGTGCTTGCCTAGCCATTTCCTCATAGCTGCACGGCAATAACAGTTTGCTCAGCCCAGTGGAGTGGCATGGCATCCCACAAGCACTCATTCGGTCTCTTTCTGCCAGCTCTCTTGCATCACAGCCCTCTGAGAATAAAAGACCGGGGGGGGGGGGGGCGGTCAGGGACAGGACAAGGAGGGGCATGTCTGCTGACATTCTCCTCTGCAGAACAAATGTTTTTTTCGAAAAAAACTTACGTGTTTTCATCTTCAGGGGCAGAGTGTGCCCAGGGCACCTCTCGACCATCTTTGTCCTGTTCTCCAAACTTCCTGCTCCCCAAGCTTGCTCAGAAAACAGCGAGCACGCACCCACCACTGTGTATCTGTTAGATGACCTAAAGCAAAACATAACTCAAGAATGGGGAGGATACATGGGAGGACAGGACTGAGGAAACATAGGAACAGAGCGAGCTAGAAGAGGCATCCTGGGCCATCTAGTCTGACCCCCGACTCCACTCATGGCATGCCTGCCAGGACAAAGTCAATGTGCTATTAAAATGAAGCAAACTCAGGACCGGGGTCAAACACAAGCAAAGTCAGGCACTAAGAGCATAAGACTGTAAGAAGAGCCGTGTGGGATCGGGCCGAAGGCCCACCTAGTCCAACATTCTGTCCACACAGGGCCCCACAGAACACCCACAAGTAGGATGGGTACACCAACACCTTCCTGCCCAAGTTCCCCAGCAACTAGTGTATGTAGATATCCTGCTGCTACTCCCAGAGGCAGCAAAGAGCGATCAGGACTAGTAGCCATTCACAGCGTTATCCTGCATTGAGAGCCTTACGCACTTGCCACAGGCCCCCACACACGCCACCGCCAGAAGCCCCCTGGAGTTGCTCCTGATTTTCACCTTCGCAGCCTGCTTGCATGCCTTCCTGTTGCTCTGGCCAAGACTACTGAGGAAGCGCGGAGGAGCAAGAGAGGCCCCTGTTGACTTGCTCACCGATCTCTGCCTCCAAAGCAAGCAACAGCAGTGATGAGAAAGGAGATGGAAAGTGACTGTAGCCAGTGATTTATTTTTAGGTTTATGGTATTCCATGTTTCCCACATGGGGCCTACTGCAGTGGCAATCAGAAGGCAGACTCTCAGAAGGAAAGGACCTATGCAGGGTGCCCTGGCCAAAGACCCTCAAAAACTGGCATTAGGAAATGGATTTTCTGGCAGTTATATCAAATCTTTGCATTTGCAAGAACATATAACATGACCAGAATGGGGTGGGGGGGAACTCATAACCCAACACATGGGCCTCACTCCTCAATAAAGCCAGAGCAGTGTCTCATTTACAACACTTAAAAATAAAAATCTTGATATTGGACATGTTCCTAAACAGCCGAAGAGATGAGGTCTTGCTGTCGCAATGGGTTTAATGAAGGTCTGCTCCTTTTGTCTAATTAATAGCCCCGGGCTGTAACTGGTAGACATCTAAGTGTTTAGTAATTCCATCAAGAAAGAGAATCTGCCACTGCAAATGTGTCAGTTCTTTGTTCTTCCCCACTTACAGCTACTCTTTGTACCTTTGCATTTTTGCAGAAGTTTTGTGTATACACACAGAGCTGAACAGAGCACCTAACAAGTGGAAGTAAGCATCCTTTTAATTACTATCCAGTCTCTTCAACTAAACTTTCCCTGAGCAACTAATGGGAAAAGTTTGTCAACAAGATTGAAGCTGGTTCTCCATTTTCCCAGGCTGAAGCAGAGTTGCATGAGCAACCAGAATAAACTGCGCTGTATTCATGTCCTTGTACCTCGAAAGAAGCTTTGCGCAGCCAGACGTGTCCATGGTTGACAGACTGTCCTTAGTGAAATGTCTCAGGGAAGTATGCCTTAAAGTACACCTTGCAAAATCAGCAGTTTTGACCCATGATAGTGAAGGTAGATCTAGAGAGTCAGCCCCATAACCACAGAGGCATATGGTACAGACCACACCTTTCCCCAGCCTTTAAGATGTGTTGGGCTCCAACTTCCAGTATTCTCCACCACTAGGGAGTGATAGGCACTGTAGTCCAACATACCTGGAGGGTATGAATCTGGGGAATGCTGGTACACACATAATTCAGGTCCTTATGTGGGCTGCCCAGGCAGCTCTGTTATCAAATAAGGAAAAAGGAACTAGGAGCCACCATCAGC